TGCCAAGCTTGCAGTTCAGTTCCCGCATGGGGTTGGACCAGATGATCTGCAGGGTCCCTTCCAATTCTATGATACCTTAAAATGAAGAGTGACAGCCAACTGTGTTATTTGAGTCCACTGATTTCAATGGGTCTCCTCTGAGTAAGACAACTGTTGGCTATCACCCTCATAGATTTACTGCGGCATACATTGGTACCTCAGGTTACAGAAGCTTCAGGTTACATACGCTTCAGGTTACAGACTCCGCTAACCCAGAAATAGTACTTCAGGTTAAGAACTTTGCATCAGGATGAGAACAGAAATCGTGCTCCGGCGGCGCAGCGGCAGCAGGAGGCCCCATTAGCTAAAATGGTGCTTCAGGTTAAGAACAGTTTCAGGTTAAGAATGGACCTCTGGAACGAATTAAGTACTTAACCCGAGGCACCACTGTATAAGCTTTTAAGGTCTGGTTGTTGCAATCTGGGAGCCCCAAAGACCATCAAATAGTTCACCTTTTTAATTTTGTGGCAACAATTTAAGATCAGTGTGTGCATGCATTGCAATATAGTCCATAATGCAAGATGGTCCATAAAAGCTTATGCTGCAATAAATCTGCTAGTATTTAAGATGCCAAAAGACAGCTGTTTTTAACTCACCTTATTTCATTGGTAGTTTTATCCATTGGCACTAGGTGGCACATTAACACCATTTCCTGATAGCTGTGCAAGAGCAGCCTTTCTATAAGATATATACAGCATAGGGCCTTTAGGAGGGGGGTGGGAGCTTCTACCAGATTTTGTAGTGGTCCATTCAAGTCAGAAGATGTGGTTATATCCAACTGCCTGCATTAAACCCCTTGCTTATACTCACAAAATAGGTACTTGTGTGTCTTCAAGCCAAAATACACATTCCACATTCTCATGCTGTTTAAATCCTTTGGTACCCGCTGACATAATATTATATCATGGAATTCCATTGTTTTTGCCCAAATGGTTCATTTTATATTTTTAATCTCTACTTCCCAGTACGGTTGTCTATTCTCTCACTGTCAGCAGTGTGAAGGGAAGTGAAAGAGCTTCATTGCAAATCCCTCACTGAAGCCCAGCATTGAACAAAATATGCAAACCCAGCAATGGCTCTTTAGTTACGCAGCTTTAAAACTTGCAAGGCTCATGATGTAGTGTGCAACTGGTTGGAGCAGAGCAGAAAGAATGTCGCAACTGTGCAGCTTTCCTGTAACATTTGCACAGTCTGCTTCTTTGATAGGGTGCCATACTTTAAATGCATTCACTACATAAGGTAAAGGTAAAGGGACCCCTGACCATTAGGTCCAGTCGTGATCGACTCTGGGGTTGTGGCACTCATCTCACTTTATTCACCAAGGGAACTGGCGTACAACTTCCGGGTCATGTGGCCAGCATGACTAAGCCGCTTCTGGCGAACCAGAGCAGCGCACGGAAACGCCGTTTACCTTCCCGCTGGAGCGGTACCTATTTATCTACTTGCACTTGACGTGCTTTTGAACTGCTAGGTTGGCAGGAGCAGGGACTGAGCAATGGGAGCTCACCCCGTCGCGGGGATTCGAACCGCCAACCTTCTGATTGGCAAGTCCTAGGCTCAGTGGTTTAACCCAATAGTGTTTATTTGATTTTATGCATTTAGGATATCCACCACCATCTTGGTTTGCACTGTGCCCCACCCACCTACACGGGGGGGGGGGGTTAACGAGAACGAGAGTCTTTCTATGCAGACTACAAATTCCATGACTCAGTGTGACTGCAAGTATAAGCACATATCAGATGCAGATTTACTCTAGAAAGAAAGAAGTGGGAATCATAGGGACAGAACTACCTAAAATGTATAGAAACTTATTCATGTATTCGACTACAGTGGCAAGAATGTTACTGGCCCCAAATGGAAAGAAGCAGAAGAAGTCCCAGCAAAGGAAGGATGGATACAAAAACTTACGAAGTATGCAGAAATGGCAAAACTTATCGAAAGAATAAGAAATTAAGGTAACAATTTTTTATTTTTTGTAAAAGAATGGAAATGGTTTATTGAATGTATACAGATAAATTATAAACAGATAAAAACATTGGTAGGATTATTGCAATAACCTGCAGTTTTATAAGAGTATAAATTTAAAGAAGATGAATAAATGAGCAAATTAGTTTAATTTGGATATGCAGAAGATATTGAAAATAAATTTAAGGAGCTGTAGAAAGAGGGGGAGGAAGTCAAGTTTTAAAATGTAAAAATGATTGTAAAATTAGTGAAATGTATAAACTGGAAAAGTACAAAATAAAAATACAAAAAATACAAAAAAAGAAAGAAGGTGGGTGATGAAAGAACAAATATTAAGGATATTTAGTTTGGGCCAGTGGTTTTTCTGTGGGGATTCATTTCTTGAAGCTAAGTCACATTCCTCCTCTCACCGCCACTGTTGCTGCACCGAGTTCAGCATAATGTCTGCAGCATAATGTCTTAGCAAGGTCTCTGTGGTGCCCAAACAGAAAACAAATTCAAAGGAAATTGGATAAAGGACTCTTTCCCTCACCAGCGCACAATTGTCCACTCCTAGGTGACACAAATCTATTGTATATTCTGAACAATAAAGAACATGGCCACTAGATGACAGCAAAACCTCAAGATCCTACAATGCAGGTAAACTTACCTTACATGAGACCCCTTTCTCTGCTTCAAGATATTCCTTTCTTTCAATCCAAAGCTCTAATAGAATTTGGCATATTTAAAGGCGGCGTTAGGATACACTGTGATCTCCCTTCATTCGTAGGATCGCATTGCATGAATCTCTTGAGCCTGCAACAATGCAGCTTGAGGAGAGGGCAAGAGGGTGATGGAAAAAAACCTGTGTGTGTCGGCGGGGGGCGGGGGGGGGGCGTATCCTTTTTCCATTAAGGAAAAGCGATGGTCACCATTCTGGGTGGCTTTCAGAGGATTAGGTGAATTCGCAGAGCGAATTCTTCCTCCGCTGTAAGAGGCAGTGTGAATCTCAATATGATCCTGGAGACAGCAGACAAGGAGCAGTTAGGCCTTTGGTCTGATCCAGCTGGCTCTAATATTTTTTACATGCAAAGCTTTAGAAGTTTGGACAGGGGGAAAAAACCAAAGCAAATGACAGCAAGCAGACAGTCCTGACAACTGGAATTGCGAATATTTGCTGTTAAATTTTCTACATGGTTTCATTAAAATATATAACTGATATCCATCCATCTCTGCGTAAGAAAATGCAATCTGACTTCAAACTGAACTCCAAAGTCCTCGTGGATTTATTTAAAGAACACTGTTTTCAAGCCTCCCAGCTTACTGCTTTGTGAGTAGCTAGGATGATTGGGTGAGAAAGTAGGGGGTGGAGGAAGCAAGCATTGATTTCTGCTTTATCTTAACCAAGAAACAACTTTTTGCTCAGAGACGGCTTGTTAAAAATAACTGTGAAGAATATTGATTTGAAAGGATAAACTGATACACAGCAAATAATCTACAACAAACAGGGCACAAGGAGAAAACCTGCTTTACTCTTGCTGGAGGGGACGGTGCAAAACTGAGGATGACAACAAGGTCTATTTTATGATCTTGTATACACATGACGTTAGCCTGGGCTTCAGAAGAACATTACTCTTTTTGTGTATCCTCAGCTGAACCATGGTGCTCGAAAGCTGCCGACTTCTGATCAATGGCTATGTGGACTTTGGGGGAAGTCTGCCATGTTGGTTTCGGGATGCCTCCGGTGTTCCTGCTGAACTGAATTCTCAAACCCTAATTTGAAAATATGCTTTTGGTTGGGTTGTGAACTGGAAACTCACACTTTTCTCTCCTGTGTTGAAACTTGCCCTCCAAACTTAGGAGTTTTCTTTGTTTTAGTTGGTTCCATTAAGCAGCCATAGAGGTTCCACCGCTCGTCCATTTCTGTGTACAGTCATACCTCGGGTTACAGATGCTTTCGGGTTATGCGTTTTCAGGTTACGGACGTGCCGAAACCCGGAAGTACCAGAATGGGTTACTTCTGGGTTTTGGCGCTTGCACATGTGCAGAAGCACCAAATCGCAACCAGCGCATGCGCAGACGCGGCGCTGTGGGTTGCGAACGTGCCTCCTGCACGGATCACGTTCGAAACCCGAGCGTCCACGGTATTGCAAAGCAAAATTCATTTAAGATTGCAATCTTTGCATAACCAATATGTCCTATTGACATACGTCTGTGGTGGCTATTCAGGTATTTTCTCAAGAGAGAACCTGCCCTTTTGTTCTGCAACAGAAATGGGCAAGCTCTCTGAAGGACATTTCACACAGTTTCCACTAATATGTATGTGTTGGGGTGCAGAGAAGAGAACTAGCCCCACTGTACATAGGAGAGGGCTATGTGGAGAGAGTCTCTTCCTTTAAATTCCTAGGAGTTTATCTCAGTGAAGACCTTACTTGGAAAATCAATACAACCTAGGTGATTAAGAAAGCCCAACACAGACTCCATCTCAGAATATTGCAAAAGAACGATGTCAATCAACATTTGATGATTTCCTTCTACCAGTCAACAATAGAAAGTGTCCTTTCATACTGCATCACGGTGTGGTATGCTGGTTTGACATCAAGTGATAGGAAGTGCCTACAGAGGGTGGTGAATACAGCACAAGATATTAGGGGCTGTCCCGTGAATCCACTGGATGACATCGTGGAAGAACATTGCCTCAGGAGAGTGAGGAAAATTCTCAGGGATGATTCACACCCTGGCCGGCACTTTCTTGATCTCCTGCCCTCAGGCAGAAGATATAGAAGCATGATTAGTCACACTAACAGGGTAATGAACAGCTTCTATCCCTGGGCTGTTAGGCTGCTGAATGAAAAGGTAGCAACATGGCAACTGACTTTCGGGTTTGGTGTGTGTGTGTCAGTAAACGAGGGGAATTAAGACTAAGAGAGCTGAGTGGGGGGTGCTCGTGTAATCTCATTGTATACAAGTTGTACAAGTGACAATAAAGTATTTCAATTTCAATATAATCTGCTTACCTTCATTGGAGCAAGTTGGATTGGGGTAATGCATGAAGGATCCACCATAGGCTTCGGCCTGTTTGCTGTGTCCGCTAGCAAACTATGCCACTGTTGAGGTAGTCCGGTGAACTTCTGTTCTCTGTGATCAAATCCAGTGTGTACCCTGTGTTCAAAATTTGAAGGGCCGGAAATTTCAAGCTTTTTCTTTTTCTTTCCAAACATGGTGGAAAAACCTGGGAGGACAAAGGAGAATATTACCCTGGCGCTGAAATATTTTAAGTCATTCAAGCATAATTTGCCACGCTGGGTGAAACGGTTAAAAACGAGAAATTGATAAGGCTCCATGCCTACGATAGAATGTGTATGATGTCGTGTAAAAATGCCAAGCCTTTCTTTGTTGAGAAATCTGAATTATGGACAGCACCAGAATTTAAGGTAGCAATAATAAAATACCTGAAAGACATTTTGCAACAAATTGTATTCACACCAGGAGAACAGCCAAAAAGAATGGTTTCATTGAGTTCAGAGTATATGGGCAATATTCAGTGTTAGTGATGATCAGATAAGACCCATTGAAATCAATGGTCCAGCCCATGTTTTCATGCTCGTCTTGGGTTTAATGGCATCTCCAGTTAAAGGATTTTGGATTGCAGGCTTCCTTCTGTGACCTCAGAGCAAGCTACCCCAACCTGGGGGAGATAATGACACGTTGTCATGTTTAGTGAACCCGAGGAAAGGCAATCCCCCTTATTCTACAACTTGTCCCCATCTGTTAAATTGAGATTGTAACTAGTGGCAGCACCAGGGGAAAAAAACACACACACACACACACACACACACAGAAACGGCAAAGTGGGTGGATGTGTTGTGTCCTTCATGTTAAGACTTTGGAACGAAAAAGAAGTCAGGATAAGTTAATGACAGCAACGGGGGTAAATGGGAGGCAAGCTCCTTGTTTGCCCCCCTCCCCAGTCCACCCTCTGACACTGCCCATGATTGTAACCACTATGATCAATATCTAAAGAAGATACACTGAATTATATTAAACGGTGGCGGGAAGGTTGCGCTCAGGCTATGGAACTCTCTTCCTTAAGGAAGCGGATTAGATCCCCTTTCTGATGGCCTTCTGTCCATGTATGAAGACCATTCTCTTATTCCCCTTGCCTTTTTGGCTTCTGAATTCTTATCTGCCATCTTTTGTATCTGCTTTTTTATATCTATTTTTTTAAAAGTCATCTGCATCAGCCACCAACCATTTCATCTACAGTATATACAGAAGTGGGACGCGGGTGGCACTGTGAGTTAAACCACAGAGCCTAGGACTTGCCGATCAGAAGGTCGGTGGTTCGAATCCCTACAACGGGGTGAGCTCCCGTTGCTCAGTCCCTGCTCCTGCCAACCTAGCAGTTCAAAAGCACCTCAAAGTGCAAGTAGATAAATAGGCACCACTCCGGCGGGAAGGTAAACGGCATTTCCATGTGCTGCTCTGGTTTGCCAGAAGCAGCTTAGTCATGCTGGCCACATGACCCGGAAGCTGTACGCCGGCTTCCTTGGCCAATAAAGCAAGATGAGCGCCGCAACCCCAGAGTCGGCCACAACTGGACCTAATGGTCAGGAGTCCCTTTACCTTTACCTATATACAGAAGTATGGGTTCCTACACACAGTATGCCAAACAGAAAAAAGGCCACCAGAGAGACAGAAATTCTAAATTTAAATCATACGAATGCAGAAGCATTCATTTTCAGCCACTCAGAATTCTGTAGACTTTACTGCCATCAGGTTGTTACAGTCTCCAAGGAGAAACTTCACGCGGAAATATTTATTTAGTTTTGATTGCTTCGGATCCTTCGGCCTCAATGGTCTCATTTACTCAGTTAGCCGCCCCTTGGCTAGCTGCTTTTTAAACAGAGTTCTTGGGTATGTTAAGGGACAATTTGAATAATCCTCCAAGCATATCGGAATGAAGCTTGAGTTGACCTGCTGTGTAGCAAAGTGATAATCTGATTGCTTTCCTCCTGTGCTCTCCGATTGTGTGTCAGAGCCCTAATTGCCTGATTGGGGAAAGGGCATTGAATTAATTATGGTCGAAATTGTGAGCTAGGTCACGGCGTGCATTGAAGCAGATCACTTCAGCAAGAAGCACGCAGGGGACAAATCCAATCAACCTGCCAATCCATCCATCCAATCTTAGTATTTTCCTTTGGAATACAAGCATTAAATGACACCTAAGATACAACACAGGGACGCGGGTGGTGCTGTGGGTTAAATGACAGAGCCTAGGACTTGCCGATTGGAAGGTCGGCGGTTCAAATCCCTGCGATGGGGTGAGCTCCTGTTGCTCGGTCCCTGCTCCTGCCAACCTAGCAGTTCGAAAGCACGTCAAAGTGCAAGTAGATAAATAGGTACCGCTCCAGTGGGGAAGGTAAACGCCGTTTCCGTGCGCTGCTCTGGTTCGCCAGAAGCGGCTTAGTCATGCTGGCCACATGACTCGGAAGCTGTACGCCGGCTCCCTTGGCCAATAAAGCGAGATGAGTGCTGCAACCTCAGAGTTGGCCACGACTGGACTTAATGGTCAGGGGTCCCTTTAAGATACAACACACCTGCTGTTGTATTAAACAAAGCGGTGGAGAATTCCAGAGAACTTTCCTTTAAAACCCCTTTCTTTTTGCTGCACAGAAGAAAGTAATTCAGATGATCTGGAGGAGGTGGGGACGCAACCTACAGGATCTTGGAGCTTTAAGCAAAAGCTGCTTGGAAAACATCCCAAGAAATTCCATATAAATATGGTGTCATAAACCCTGCAGATTTCATTTAAAAAACCCAACAACTTTGAATGACACATGGTACAATCCCAAGCATGTTTACTTAGGTGTGAATCCCTCTAAGTTCAATCAGACTTGCCCTCTGGTGAGTATGTTTAGGATTGCAGCCGAAAAATGGGTTCCTGCAAAATTCCCGCCTTACAATGCAGTTCCATGCATTGTATCGAATTGGCCTCCACAGTCATTTATGGACTCATTGTTAAAACCATGTGATCGCCAAAGAAGAAGAAGACCTCCATGGGATGATTATGAGGAAACATGCAAAGGATTATTCCGCTATACCTTGCAAAGTCTTCATTAGATGCTATGTGATTATTTGTTATTACACCTTGCTAATTTCCCCTTATATTTCCTAATTAATATCTCTTCTGGGTAAAACTTTGGTAGAATACAGAAAACAATAAAGCAATCCTAGTTAGCATTTAGTCTTAATTCACTTCAGAGGCTAGCAGACCCACCTGAGCACAGGCATGCTTAATAATAATAATAATAATAATAATAATAATAATAATAATAATAATAATAATAATTTATACCCCAGCCACCCAGGGCAGCTCCCAACAGAATATTAAAAACACGATAACACATCAAACATTAAAAACTTCCCTAAACAGTGCTGCCTTCAGATGTCTTCTAAAAGTCAGATAGTTGTTTATTTCCTTGGCATCTGATGGGAGGGCGTTCCACAGGGCGGGTGCCACTACTGAAAAGGCCCTCTGCCTGGTTCCCTGTAACCTCACTTCTCGCAGGGGGGGAACAGCCAGAAGGCCCTTGGAGCTGGACCTCAGTGTCCGGGCTGAACGATGAATGGTTTTCTACTAGCCATTACTATAGACTTCACCCTTGAGCATTGTAGTTCACTGAGCGATTGGCTCATGAAGTGTATTGGCATGGAGCTCTGCCCACCCTGATTTGTTCCACATCATTCAGTAGGCCAAAGCTGACTCAGGTGTATGCAAAAGCATCTTAAGCAACTCAGCAGTGTGATCAGTCATTTTCAGTCTAGGAGATAAACTGCTCTGAAGGTTGTATCCAACCAACAGTGTCGCTTAGCTGAAAGTGACTGAAAGTCAGTGGAATGGAGAGGGAAGCAATTTGGGGGGATTCACCCTCCACCTACAGTCCCTGCCCCCCAGTCTGCCCTGAAGGGTCCCACAAGCCTTCCAAGTTCTGTTGATGGAATTCATACCATCAGCTGACTGACACCATACAACCCTGAAAAAGTAGAGCCAGGTAAAAACCAATGGTACCAGTTCTGTTAATGCATTGCAATTTGTCTTTGGCTCACAGCAATAATAAGGGGAAAAGAACCCAAATCTAAACTGAATTTCACCTTCCAGCACTCTATAAACCTGTCACTGCTAAATTAACTGTAATAGGTGATATTATTTCTGTACAATAATGTAAATTGCACTGTATTTCACAAGTAATATGGTGCACACCCATAACTTAATACTATTACATCCGAAACAGACTGATTTACTTGCCAGTTTAAATAAGTCTGTTGTATTTTACAGCAAGGTCGTGCATGCTGGGATAACAGCAGGAAGAAATCTTTAAAAGTGAAAGGGGATAGTACATAGCTGCAGGGTTATATGTCAATGTGTTCGCACAGGTAAAACATGACTTAAATATAGACCTTTCAGTTTCAAGGCTTAAACATTTTTCAGTATGTTCCTTACTTCTGAAAATACACCCACACTAACCACTTTGTTCACTGTTTGACTTGAGATTCTAATATAAGGGGAAATTTCCTATGCATGCCACATGGTGTTGGTAGAGTAGGGGAGCGGGTGGCGCTGTGGTCTAAACCACTGAGCCTCTTGGGCTTGCTAATCAGAAGGTCAGTGGTTCGAATCTGCATGATGGGGTGAGCTCCTGTTGCTCTGTCCCAGCTCCTGCCAACCTAGCATTTCGAAAGCATGCCAGTACAAGTAGATAAATAGGTACCGCTGCGGCAGGAAGGTAAACAGCATTTCTGTACGCTCTGGTTTCCATCATGGTGTCCCATTGTGCCAGAAGCAGTTTAGTCATGCTGGCCACATGACCCGGAAGCTGTCTGTGGACAAACGCCAGATCCCTCGACCTGAAAGCGAGATGAGCGGTGCAACCCCATAGTCACCTTTGACTGGACTTAACCATCCAGGGGTCCTTTACATTTTACTTTTTTTAGGGGTGGGAGAATCTGCCGATTTTGGGTTATCATTTCCCCCATCTTAAGTTCAGCTCTCCATATAACCACATAAGTTTGTGATGATGATGATGATTTTAAAAGTCCTCATGAAAACTAATCTGCATTTTAGTGAACATCTCTCCTAATACACATTTTGTATGTACTGCAGTCTAATATACACTTTATTGCTAAGCAATTTCCTGAGATAAAATGCATTTTTGCATGTAGTGTTCACTAGTGTGCATGCATTTTAATGCACATTTTACCCCAGTAGGTGCTTTCAACTTGGCTGGAGAACTGCGTCACAAAATTCAGAAAACTGCACATTTCCACAAATGGCTGTTTTGCTTCTTGAATTTCAGAAAGTCTGGATATGTAGGTTCACATTTAGATGCAAAGCGAACTGAATCTTTCCCCCACATGTAGCAGAGGGTTTCATGTTTAAATTTGGTGTCTTCTGTTGTGATTTAAGTCCATAGTCTATTGTTTACTTCAGGCATCTGTAGGCTTACCTTGTCTGGTTGCAGAGTAAGAGGATGCAAGCATTAAGCATTTGCAGAGATTAGCTTATTTGGGAAAAATAATAGCCTAAGCAAAATTTTGCTTCTGAAATCATCGAAGTTAATGTCCAACAGCACTTTGATAGAACTTGAATTCTTTATACAGAAACAGATTATCACAACTGGTGCTGGGAGTTGCACAGCTTAGAAGAAACTTCTGCACATACACAAAAATGTACTAGATCCATCAGATTTAGCACGATTTTGTGGTATATGCCATTTTCTAACCAAGGAGTAAATTACACAGCGGAAAAACCAACTGCGGATAAAACAGTCACAGCTATAACAAACAAGAGATGGCACCCTAAGTTAAGCATATAATCATCTTTCCTGATCAACTGATAAACTTTTAACCAGAGTGTGACATTGTAAATCTTGATGAAGCACGTATCCTGAGATACAATGGACCATCAGGCAAGGAATAATGGCAACTCCCAGATGAAATTAATGGCATCATTCTCTATTGGAAACAAGTATCCATCTGACCAAGCATTTTAGTTAACTTTGGGTCAGTTAGGTGTACCCATGTCACAAACCATTCACTGTCTGGGCCCCCCGTTCTGCGATCTTTCAGAGGGGTGAAAATGTTTGCCTCCTTAAGTTTAAAGCAGCAACCACCATTTAATGCTGGTAATTTTACCACAATTTACCACAGTGCAATCCTCTCCCATAAAAGTGCTTCCCAAGAGACAACGCTCTTTATACGTTGTTGGGAAAGGATCATAGGGAGGATGAATTTGTTTCAGTATTCTGGAATTTTCTGTCTGCAAGCAGGACTTCATTTCTTATCATCTCTTGGTATGATAAATGTATATCTAGTGAAGTTTACATGAAGACCAGATAAGTTGAAACTTTTGATATATATTTTTAAAACAACAACAACAACAACAACAGGTTATGTACTTAATTCATTCCGGAGGTCCATTCTTAACCTGAAACTGTTCTTAACCTAAAGCACCACTTTAGCCAAAGGGGCCTCCTGCTGCTGCCACGCCACCGGAGCACAATTTCTGTTTTCATCCTGAAGCAAAGTTCTTAACCCGAGGTAGTATTTCTGGGTTAGTGGAGTCTGTAACCTGAAGCGTATGTAACCTGAAGTGTATGTAACCCGAGGTACCACTGTACTGTGTTCCATGAAGTGGGACTATTGTCCTTTGTTCTTTTTCTCTTTGCTGTCTGATGCTAGAGAGAAAGGGAGCCATGTTGCAGTGCTCCGTGTATGTTTATATTTAAATAAAGTAGATTAGCCAAAATGCTGAGTTGCTGAGGTTTGTTACGCAAGCTGCACAAACTCTGCGGATCCCTGAGTGTGCCAATGTCTGTTGGCATCGGTCGCTGTGATGTTTGGGCAGAAGAAAGCTTCTGAAGCTCCCGAATGATCGACCAGGAGGGAGGGAACATGCCAGTCAAGAATGTGTCTCTGCCAGGGTCCTACTCGAGAGTAGGAGGAGCTCCTGACATGCCCCCACATGCCCAAAACAGACTTTTGGGGGCGGGATAACCCTAGGAACAGTGTCGGGGGGAGAGATGAGGGATCCCATCTGGCGAGCCAAAATGCTTGCCCTGACAGAATGATTGCCTTAGGACAAGGTTCCCCAAACTTGGGTCTCTGTTTTTGGACTACCATTCCCATCATCCCTGACCACTGATCCTGCTAGGTAGGGATGGTGGGAGTTGTAGTCCAAAATCAGCTAGAGGCCCAAGTTTGGAAAACCCTGCTTTAGCACAAAGACAAATGCCTCCTTTGGTTTAGATGCATACAGCACCTCAAATATGTGATGGTTTTGGTGAGGACCAGAAAGGACAATCCATCTCCTTCCATGTTCATGTGCATACATGAAGACCCTCTGCAAATGGCTGCAGTGCATCCTGTTTTGAGTTCGGTCGATGTTCCCAGCTATGCTCCAAATGTCTTCTGAGTTGGCCATTCCCGCCCCGCAGCCACCACCGTTATTGAAATCTATGCACTAATACAGCAAGAAGAAACCATTGAAACGGTTCCAAGCCATCTGGGCTTTGCCATTGTCAATGTTTCTTCCAAAGCACACAATACCTTGTTTATTGTCGAAAATGCCTTCACTGGTCACACCACAGCACAGCAGGGTTTCTTGGGATGGTTGGCCCATGAGAAACATCTAATAGAGATGCACAATGAAATAAATAAAACTAAATAAAATAAAAACACACACACACACACCATCAAAGACAATGTGGGCTTGTACAGAAAGAGTAAACGCTGGCAAAGGGTAACTAGAGAAACACTGTTGTCATTTGAGGAACAATGCTCCACCGCCTCCCGCACAATGAAAGCCACTTTTGTATTTCCTATTTTCATGCATCAGCTGACATTACAGAGCCTCTAAAACAGCACTCGCTGGGAAAAAGTGAGCCCTGTATTAGCTTCCTGGCTGACAGCCAGTGAAGGGTCAGGTGCTGCTCACATCAGTACTCTGGTTTCCAATTCCCCACATGCTGTGTGCCTCCTGGCTCTCTTATTCTCCCAGTAGTCATTTGTCCCACTACGTGACACAAATCTACACCAGTGATGCAACTGACTAGCCAAGGCAGGAGGGAAAGCATGCCAATGGTATCCAGTAAACATGGAACCACCACTCCAGGGGAATCACACCAGCAGTCGTGAAGGAAGGGGCTTCAGTACCTGTGGCGGTGGGGGCGTGGCATAGAATCATAGAATCATAGAGTTGGAATAGACCACAAGGGCCATCGAGTCCAACCCCCTGCCAAGCAGGAAACACCATCAGAGCACTCCTGACATATGGTTGTCAAGCCTCTGCTTAAAGACCTCCAAAGAAGGAGACTCCACCACACTCCTTGGCAGCAAATTCCACTGTCGAACAGCTCTTACTGTCAGGAAGTTCTTCCTAATGTTTAGGTGGAATCTTCTTTCTTGTAGTTTGGATCCATTGCTCCGTGTCCACTTCTCTGGAGCAGCAGAAAACAATCTTGCTCCCTCCTCTATATGACATCCTTTTCTATATTTGAACATGGCTATCATATCACCCCTTAACCTCCTCTTCTCTAGGCTAAACATGCCCAGCTCCCTTAGCCATTCCTCATAAGGCATCGTTTCCAGGCATGCCACACGTGGGGGTGTGGCATGTCGCACGTGCGAGAGTCCCAAGTGGTAGGCGCTCGCCCATGTGAGCCATCGTCCCAACTGGGTAGGTGCCTGCCAGTGTGAGCGTCATCCCAATGTGGCGGCGCCTGCCAACTCGAGTATCCTGAGGGGGAGGCGGCCGCCCACGATGATGTCACTCCTTCCCCAGGATGGTACCTGTGCCCCCTTCCTCCACCACTGCACACCAGTATAAAGTAGGCCTTGTTCTCACTCATGTGTCCAACCCATATCTGTGCTTGGACCATTTCAGACTGTAGGCGGGGGCTTGGGTCATCTCCAGACTTCCAATGCTTTTCTGGAGGGCTTTAAGTTGTGAATGATACCTCTTGGGACTTGCAGGTAGAAGGCCTTCTCGGTAGTGGCACCTACCCTGTGGAATGCCCTCCCATCAGATGTCAAGGAAATAAACAACTATCAGTCTTTTAGAAGACATTTGAAGGCAGCCCTGTATCAGGAAGTTTTTAATGTTTGATATTCTATTGTGTTTTTAATTTTCTGTTGGGAGCTGCCCAGAGTGGCTGGGGAAACCCAGCCAGATGGGTGCGGCATAAGTAATATATTATTATTATAATTATTATTATTAGGCAGAGGGAAGGGAGGTCAACAGTAGGCTGAGGCGGAGCCAATGGCAGGCAGACCCAACCAATTCTAGCTCTCCCCCCATTCTCCTCCTCACTGAGTTCAATCATGGTAGCTCTGAGACTAAGGAGGAGGACGCTGACATTCAGTGCCACCTTCTGGGCCAGATGGAATATGAAAGCAAGCAGCTGGGTGGGGCATTGGGTTTGCCCTAATGGACTAGCCTATACGACTATAAAAGTTGTTTTGCACAAATAAAGTGGATTACAATCAGGGCCATCTTTAGCAGATGTGGCACTGGGGTGCAAGTATCAGCCCAGCACCCCCAAATTACCATGGATAGTGGGGGGGGGGAGAGTGAATCTGTGCACTGCCAGCCATCGGAGGCGCAACTCTCCTCCATGCCACTGTGGGAGAGCAATCCCCGCAGAGACTTGGGAAGGAAGCTGCATGCATGCCAGCCATATAGTAGGCGGGGCGCAGCTTCCATCCTAAGCCTCTGCCAGGATCGCTCTCCTCCTGCGGAGGCTTGGGAGGCTAGCTGCACACCCACCAGCCATATGGTGGTCCAGGGAAAGGGGAGGCTGCCAGCAAAGCCGCGCAGCTCCCTCACTCTCTGGGGCACCCCTGAGAGGCTGGCGCCCTGGCGCGATGCACCACTAAGCCCTATGGGAAAGATGGCTCTGATTACAATGCTCTGCTGCCACCACACAAGTAAATCAGGATGAATTCAAGATGAATGCTAGTTGCAAATCAGAATGAATGCTCAGGAAAGACCAGAACCCTCTGTGTAAGCTTTGCAACAACAACAACAACAACAACAACAACAACAACAACAACAACAACAACAACAACAACAACAACATTATTTATACCCCGTCCATCTGGCTGGGTTTCCCCAGCCACTCTGGGTGGTTTCCAGCAAAATATTAAAATACAATAATTCATCAAATGTTAAAAGCTTCCCTAAACAGGGCTGCCTTCAGATGTCTTCTAAAAGTCAGATAGTTGTTTATTTCTTTGACATCTGGTGGGAGGGTGTTCCACAGGGCGGGTACCACTACCAAGAAGGCCCTCTGCCTGGTTCCCTGTAACTTCCCTTCTCGCAGTGAGGGAACCTCCAGAAGCCCCTCGGTGCTGGACCTTAGTGTCTGCAAAAGCAAATCAGGGTGGATGCTCAATAAACTGGAGGAGCATTACTGAATTCTCTTCCATATAGTTTTCCGCAACACCACACACAGAGAGAAAACTAGCATGTCAGGACAAAGGTTAAACTAGAAACGCCCCCCCCCCCCGATATCTCATTTTCTGTGTGCAGAGAAGCTTTTGCATGAAAGAACATTCAATCAGCTGAGCTCCCACCTCCATGCCTGGGAGCTGTAGTTTGCTATGAGTGCTGGGAATATTAGGATATTCCTACAATTCCCAGAGTTCCCTGGGAAGAGGGACTGATCAGTAAGCCAGTTTAATTCTGTGGTGTGAGTGTGTCACAGTCTCTGGTCCAACACAGACTCACAAAATAGCTCGCATCTCTTTTTGAAAAGGCTATCCCCAGAACAAAGTCTCTACACAGTGTTGTGTCCAGCATAACAAAATACAGTTGCTGAGCCAGTTAAGTAAATTACCATTTTCCTCTGGTCTGTATTAGAAGAGGAAATGTTGTCAATGATACTGACGTGTCAAGGACAGAGATGGTGGTGATTTATCAGGGGAGAAAGATGGGTGAGAGGAGTAATGAATACATGTTTGCAGTTGCCTAAGGTAAAAATCTGAACCAAAAGTCTGAAATTTATTTCTACATTAATGAAATGTATTAGCATTAATTGAGCCTTTCTCTAATTGGAACGAAGATCTTATAGTTGCAGCAGAAGTGTGAAATCAATTTGCCCCGCATTCAAGCTGTTAAAAAAAAGTCTTGAAAATTTACTCAGACTGCATCTTCTCTATTAATGATGCCCAGCTGATGAAAATTGGCAGAGCGCCACTGAAATCACTGGTTTTATATCTGCAGAGGACCCTGATGCTATGTGTTCTGGATAATTTACAAAATTGCAGCCGAAAGGATCGCACAATGCTGTTCGGTTTCAATGGCCCTCTAACGCCAAGCCAAGATGTTCATCTTGCAAAATGTCCAGTATACTCAGCTGCATCTCTCCTATAGTGCCAATTAATGTAATTAAGCACCATTTCTTAAATATCCAAGAAATGAATGCTGCCTGTAATGAAAGCAAATTATAGAGTGATGCTAACAAAGAATATGTGGATCAAGGGGCAGAAGAAGTATAAAAATCATCTGGATCTGGCATCATCCTATGTACACAACAGTCTCCATAATCCTGATTGCAGTATACTATGAGCAACGCAGTTGGTGCCGCCTGCAACATTTCAAGGATTCAAGTCACATCGAAGTGAGACAAAATACCATGTTTTTTTCATAGAAACACAGTGAGCAGAGCAAATTCCCATTTCTTTGGTCAGTGGGACTTTCCACAAGGCAGCACAGAACGTTTTGAAGCATACATCAAGGTTCATGGAGGTATCTCTTAATCAGGTCTTTCCAGAAGTCACAGGGCAAATCTGTACCGTACATCTAAAGCACGTGCAAAGAATCCTGGGAAGTGTAGTTTTTCCTCAGGCGAGATTTCTAACAACCTTAACAAGCTACAGTTTCCCAGGACTTGCGGGGATAAGCCATGTGCTTTACACGTGCTTCAAATCTATGGTGTGAACCTGCCCATATTGATGCAGTCAATTCAATGTTTTGTGCTACATGGTGCACAGCTTGAACAATGCAATTGGATTAGTCTTCTAGGATGGCCCGTGCTGGTGTGTGTGCCCCTGCCAATCCCACTTCTGCAACACACACACACACACACACACACATACACACACACACCTGTGTATGGAGCAAAATTAGAAAACTGTCACACTGGTGCTTCCAGACTGTCTCTATTTTTGGGTGTGATTCAATCCCACAAACCAACAAATCCAAGCTGTGCAATTAAAGTTGATTGGGAGGTCTTGTGCAACATACCCACTTCCCCTAAATATTGGTCTTTCTGTGATAAGGAAAGTGTTACAGAAATGCACTGGGAAGTGTGGTGCAACTTGTATCTTGCACGACTCATCTAATCTTCCTGCATACAAATCAGAACACATGCTCCTTAAATAGCCAGTGGTCATCTAACCTTTCTGCAAAACAAATCAGGGTGATAGCTCAACAAACAGGTTGTTTGGAAGTGCCTGTTATTTCTTCTACAAATGAACTGCTTTGCGAAGTTAGCTGCTTTGCTAAACATAGTTTGCATGTTTTCCAGACCAGCATCTATTTTGCATTTTTTAAAAACAAAACAAAACAGTTGCAGCTTTGTCTTGTGTAAAATTATCACAGTGAGTGATCTAGTAATATAAGCCTCCCAGGAATCCTTTAAGTTAAAGGTATAAAAAGGGGGGGAGAAGGACCCCTGGACGGTTAAGTCCAGTCAAAGGCAACTATAGGGTTGCAGCACTCATCTCACTTTCAGGCTGAGGGAGCTGGCGTTTGTCCACAGACAGCTTTCTGGGTCATGTTGCCAGCATGACTAAACCGCTTCTGGCACAACGGGACACCGTGACGGAAGTCAGAGCGCAAGGAAATGCCATTTACCTTTCTGCCACAGCGGTGCCTATTTATCTACTTGCACTGGCATGCTTTCGAACTGCTAGCTTGGCAGAAGCTGGGACAGAACAATGGGAGCTCACTCTGTTGTGTGGATTCAAACTGCTGACCTTCTGATCAGCAAGCCCAAGAGGCTCAGTGATTTAGACGACAGTGCCACCTGCGTCCCAGGGATGATAGGAGTTGTAGTCTAACACCCTTTGGATGGCACCATGTTAGCTATCCCTGTTGACTTGGAGCAGCATTCAAACCTTCTGATCGGCAAGCCCAAGAGTTTCAGCCAATTAGACCACAGCACCACCCATGTCCCTAATCCTTTAAGAGCATATGTTTAACCTGGAGGAGAGGAGCTATGATAGTCATATTCAAATATCTAATGGACTGTCACATGGAAGTTGGAGGAAGCTTGTTTTCTCCTGCTCCAGAGGACAGGACCCAAACCAATGTGTTCAGGTTTCAAGAAGAAGAAGAAGAAGAAGAAGAAGAGTTTGGATTTGATATCCCGCTTTATCACTACCCGAAGGAGTCTCAAAGCGGCTCACATTCTCCTTTCCCTTCCTCCCCCACAACAAACACTCTGTGAGGTGAGTGGGGCTGAGAGACTTCAAAGAAGTGTGACAAGCCCAAGGTCACCCAGCAGCTACATGTGGAAGAGTGGAGACACGAACCCGGTTCCCCAGATAACGAGACTACCGCTCTTAACCACTACACCACACTGGCTCGCTCAAGAAAGGGGATTCCACTAATCATCCAGAAGACCTTTTTGACAGTAAGAGCTGTTTGGCAGTAGAACGGACTCCCCTGGGAGGTTGTGGACTCTCCTTCCTTGGAGGCTTTTAAGCAGAGGTTGGACAGCCATCTGTCAGGGATGCGTCTACAATTCTATGAGACACTTGCAACAGGGAAAGTTACCTGTGTTGCAGGAATTTATGTATAGGTTGGGGGGGGTGTTGCGCCTCCAGCAGATATCATGCACATGCAGCCCACTACCAAAATCAGCACAATCACTTTTGTGACTTTTGTGATTTGTCCCCACAAAACACTTCATCACAGTTTCTTCCTATCTGTTCAAAGGGCCTTTGCTGCACAATACCAAATGTAACAATTCACTGATAAATATATATACAGTCATACCTCGGGATAAATGTGCTTCAAGTTAAGAATTTTCGGGTTGCCTCCGTGGCGACCCGGAAGTAACGGAGCGTGTTACTTCTGGGTTTTGCCGCGTGCGCATGCGCAGACTGTCAAAGTGACGTCACGTGCATGCACGGAAGCAGCAAACGTGACCCGCACACGCGCAGGCGCAGATGCATGAACGTGGGTTGCATTCACTTCAGGATGCGAACGGGGCTCCGGAACGGATCCCGTTCACATCCCGAGGTACATCCCGAGGTACCACTGTGTGTGTGTGTGTGTGTGTGTGTGTGTGTGTGTGTGTGTGTATGTATGTATGTACTGGCTCACTGGGAAAACTTCAGAAATTCATATAGACATGTGAGCTCAGCTACACAGCAGCCCCTCTGCCTGAGTGATAATTCCTGGCACCCTGATACCTGAGCGCCAGACAGGTAGCCATTCCAGTAATAACAAACCCAGATGAAGACAAAAGGGTGTGATTAACTTGGCTGGGAAACAGGGAAATGTAAATATCTCTTTTGTTACACTTGATGGGTGCTTGGTGGAAGGAAAGGGGAACCATGGGGCAGGTTCCAGGATGCTCAGATTACTGCCACCAGACCTCCTCTTTCATGATGTAATCATGATGTATTAGTGATGTAGTTGGGGGGGGGGTAACATGGGGATTAGCAGCTAATAAAAGTTTGAGTGCTCTTTTGTTTGGGGCTTCCATCTTGTTCCACCTTGTGGCAGGTGGGAGTCCTGTCGTGACAGTCTTCAATAAAGACCAAGCCTACTGGCTGCTGTTTTGCTCTGGCATTCCTGGCTGGTGTCCTTGTTTTTTGTCCAAGGGAGCCCTCAGATTTCTCCGTTAACACCTGTAAGCCTTTCAGGAATTATTCTGGACTACAGTCTTAAAGAGGACAAAGAAAGCAGCTGGCCACAACCTTTACTTTTTACTACCTGAGAAGCCTTACTTGTTAAGCAGGGGGAAAGCCTGATGTCCCCTGCTCAAGCAAAAAATAAATAAATACAAGACCAGCTCTCACTTGCCTTAACGTAGCAAGCACACCAGACCCTTGAATACTGCTGAATCTGAGAAATTAATTAATCTACAGACAAGACATCAAATGCAAGCCAATACGGATTTGTGCATAAGAACTGCTGATTTTTGTTTGTTTGTTTCACTCACCTCCCAAAGAGCAACAGCATCCAAGCACAGAACAATCTGGGGGGCAACCATTTCTGAACATCTCTTGCTTCCAAGTATTCTCTCTGTGGCCTCTGCTCAATACACCAGATGAGTGCTACAGGCTCTAATTTTCCTCCCCTTCATCTGCTTTAAGGTTGCTGACTGCTCAGCATGAGATAAGCACAGAACAATGATACAAACTTGCCTAGTCCCTGCTGCAAATATTATCCTTCGTTGGAGTTGAAAGATGTTGATGACAAAGCATGACATTTTGCACTAAATGTTCACTCGTAACTGATGAATCTAGGTCCTGGTTTCAGCTACCAGTGAACATTGAGTGTCAGATGGGATCTAGGCAGTGTAACCTTTGGCATTAAAGTTTATTGTATTTAGGAATGGCAAAACTTAATTGGGGGGATGAGGACTACATAAAATGAAGATCCGCTTACGTAATAACACAAACTGATGGTAGAGGAGGTGGAGAACTGTTCAGACAGACAGGTTTTTATAAAAATCCAACTGCTATGGCCATTGTCCCAGGTTGCACTTGGTTTTTTTTGGTGACTGTTAATTAGTGGGGCATTCAGTAAACTCAGTGCATTGAATGAACTAATTCAGATTTAACGTATTGATTGAAAAATCTCCAAATTACACCTGAAAGTAGTTCCTGTAAAGAGGAAAGGGGGACGCATGTGTGTCACCTTTAGTTCCTTGGGGGAAAACATGTGATATAAATGCAATAATAAATAAACAAACAAATAAAATGAATTAAATTTGTTTTGCAGTGGGCAATTTTCACTTCACTTTTAATTCAGTTCCATACTTTTAAAATATATATAGGAGTTTCGTTGCATTTTATGTTTGATTGTGACCATTGCATTGATTATTTTTTACTTATCTGAAAAGTGATGCTGCAGTCTAGCTTAATAAACACAGAGCAGGTTAGCTATCGGACAAGAGGTGCCTCGCTACATCTAATGGTAGAGCTGGTCTCGCCAAACACTCTTGCATAAATCTTCAGGCATCATGGTTTCACCATTCCTGCCACATACGGACAGTTACATCCATATTGCGTATTACGATCCCAGTTGAAAGAGATGTAATGAAACCAGTCTCTATTATATAAATTCATGCCTCCTGCAATTTAGGCTTTCCAAGCTTCATTTTATCTCCAAAGGTTTGCCTACATATATTAACTAGTCAGAAGAATCTCCTGAGTTTCTAATTGTGCACACTAATTTCATTGTATTTTGAAGCTGTATATCATGGGTAGGCAAACTAAGGCCCGGGTGCCGGATCCGGCCCAATCGCCTTCTAAATCTGGCCCACAGATGAATCAGCGTGTTTTTACATGAGTAGAATGTTTTTTTTTATTTAAAATGCATCTCTGGGTTATTTGTGGGGCCTGCCTGGTGTTTTTACATGAGTAGATTGTGTGCTTTTATTTAAAATGCATCTCTGGGTTATTTGTGGTGCATAGGAATTCGTTCATTTTTTCCCTTCAAAATATAGTCCAGCACCCCACAAGGTCTGAGGGACAGTAGACCGGCCCCCGGCTGAAAAAGTTTGCTGACCCCTGCTCTATATTCTGTCTGCTAAAGCGTGTTCTCCTTCATGGAGAGCACGTGTTGCGGTGGGGGCCTCCAGGACACTCCAAAGTTGTGGGGCGGGCTAATTGATCGTTGGCCACTGATGCGATTGGGCTTCCCTTGTTGTTGGGAGGAAGTTAATGTTGCCATTTGTTGATTGACAGCCAGAAATGCTAAAACTCCTTGCACGGGGCTAGGGCTTCCTATTTTCGCCCATGCATCGGATTGCCCCCCCCCCATATTTAGGGTTGTTCGCTTTGACCTTGCTATGCCTGTCATGGGGTCGTCTGCCATTGGGGCAGGGGCCCGGGAGGAATTTTGTCCATCTGGCTGATTGGCTGGGGCCATTTGGTTTCTGCCTACCTCGTAGCAAATCATCACAACTTGTAAGGTTGCGGTTAGGCATTGGTTTTTGGTTTGGTTGGTTGAGGGGCATGGATTGGCTGTGCCTGCCCCTCTAATGCTGCTGCTGCAAGGGATTCCATTAAAGGAATTGGGGGCTAACTATTGCTTGTCCACCCTGTCAAGGGGGCTTGGGCCACTGCAAGAGCTCCTGGCTGCATTTGGGGAGGGCTGAGGGCAGGTTTCCTGCTCCGTCGCTACCCCCAAGTGTATTCCCCTTTTCTGACTTTCGCAGGCATGCAGAATGTCAGTCTGTCCCCCATAGCGGGGGCAGATAGTCACAACCAATGCCTAAGCAACCACTCACATGTTTGTATTTTAATAAAGTTGTGGCCAAAATTATGCCAAAAACCTTAAACAAAAAATTTGGTGTGATTTGTGAGTTATTGGGGTGGCCCTGGGGACCTCGACACGCAAAACATTTTTCGTCTTTCTCATTGATGAAATCAGCAACAAAGCCCACACTTGCTTTTGGCCCCAACTGACCATGAAAAGGTTAACACAGCTGCAGCAAAGGCACATCTAATCGAAAATCGGGGCACATTGAAAAGTGAGCAGCATTAGTATAACTGTTCCTCACTGTTACACAGCAGCTCCCATCAATCCACAACTATCTCTTTCTGTACTCTGATGAGCTGCTATCTGCCCTTGAGAGTATCTTAACTTTTTATTCATTCAGACTGTGACTCTTCCAAACAAATAGAAAAGATACTCCACCGTACAAATATTGTACAGCAGGGCAAACACTGAAACAACTATCTACCCATAAGGGCTCATTTGCACTTACACTTGCCGTGTACTACTTAGCTCTAAATCGAGCGAACATCAATCCAGAAAAAAAACACCAAATTGTCATTTGCTCCAATTGAGGTTTTCTCCAGGGGAAAGCTACAGGACATGAAGAAGGGTGGATAAACCCCAAGTCTTACTAAAGAATAAATAAAATGTTTGGCATCCATTAGCAGCCATGTGTCCTAGCACCTGGGGCTTTCAACATTCAAAGGAGGACCCCAAGGAAAATGTTGAAGTGCTGAGGGCGCTACTCAACAGAGAATCCTTCCTTGCTTTCTCCTACCCCTTCTCTGCTGCAGGATGTGGCCCTGCCATTGTCTTCTGATTTAGGTTATCTCTGTTTCTCATTTTCCAATCATAATTTCAGTTCTCCACATTTCCACATTGAAATAAACTCAGAGTCGAGAGTGGATTCCATGCTCTTTATTCAGATCATAGTGGTGAGGAGGAATGGAAGCTCCCCCGAAATGTCTGCTTTATATACATTATTTACACAATGGGCCCCACGTGATTGGCTAATTCCGGGATTCTCTTGTAGGCCAATCAGGTTGTGGATTCACTTCCACCTGGAGCTGGATTGGGTGGCTCCTGTGGACCAATCAGACTGCTGCATTCTGAATCCTATTGTTCTAGGACCAATCAGACTGCTGCCTTTTGGATCCTATTCAACTCAATACATAACACACATCAATTAGCAATTTATTTATTTAAAAAGAAACCCTCTCTCTGTTTTTGCTTTTATTTATATCAGTTTATTTTATCTTCCTGTATTATGGGGGGGGGAAAGCTTTTTAAAAATAGAAATGGTTGCAGAAATTCATTGACGTGTCAGTGCAAATTTATCCTAATATACACGTGTTTGTATGGACTTTTTTTTTGCAGAGCATATTTTAGGTGTCAGGAAGAAGCAAAAACTTTCCTCCCCCACTCCGCCCCCGGGCATTTGGTCCTTGATTTGAAATGGTTCTGATTTTTGCAACATCTTTTAGTGGGACAGGATCTGTAAGACCTGTCTTTTATCTGTACAGATGTATTCTAGGCTTTTATTGGTCACATTTGTTATAATTGGTTTTAGCATTTTTACTGGCTTTGTAAGTCATTTTGGATTACTTTTGTGAGGAAAGCAACTAATAAATATAATAAACAAATACATCTAGAAATAGAGACTCAATAGGACTTACTTCTAAGTAAACCTGTGCAGGATTCTGCTGTTAGCCTTCCTTTCAACAGATCATTTAGTAGTCCAATGATATGTCATTTTATGTGCCATGCTTTTGGTGCATCAAAACTGTACTGATGTAAAGTTCTGACAATGCTTCTGACTACCAGCTCAGATTGTTCCAATTATTCATTGCACCAGTGTCCCTTCATTCTATATTTAAATATATTAATTAGATGCTTATACATTGCTCATGTTGCAAATATTTGCATTTTCCAATTCCCGCGAGCTTTCACGTTTCACTCTTTGCACTCCTCCCATTTGGAAAATGCCTTTAAATATTCATTCTTGCCACCATTTCTCAGACAATATGCACTTTAGCTTTCAATGCAGTGCTATGCTGAAGGATGCTACTATTAAAAGCTTGGGAGAACATGTAGCAATTTGCTTTGAAATATTGCAAAGGAGCTTCTCATGGTGAATAACTACCTGAAGAATGAACCCTGAAAGATGCTAAAGAATTGCCCTCTTTTGTCTTCTTCTAAGACAAAGACTCTGTAATTTATTGTATGGTTTTTATACTTTTATTAAGCCACTAGGATATCAGTCACTATGTGCATACAAGGGAGACAAAAGAGTTATTCACATAGCACTCAGGATGGAAGAAACATTTTTTTTGGGGGGGGGGGAGTAGAAAATAGATGAAGAAGTTGTGGTCCTCCAGATTTTGTTGGACGACAAATCCCATCTTCCTTGATATTTGGTCATGCTGGCTAGGGCTGATGGGAGCTGGAGTAGAATGACTGCATTGCATAGGTAAATAGGTAAATGACCCTGGATGGTTAAGCCCAGTCAAAGGTGACTATGGGGTGTGGCACTCATCTCACTTCAGGCCAAGGGAGCTGGTGTTCGCCCACAGACAGCTTTCTGGGTCATGTGGCCATCATGACTAAACCGCTTCTGCTGCAATGGAACACCGTTACGGAAACCAGAGCGCACGGAAATGCTGTTTACCTTCCGCCACAGTGGTACCTATTTATCTACTTGCACTGGTGTGCTTTCAAACTGCTAGGTTGGCAGAAGCTGGGACAGAGCAACAGGAGCTCACCCCATTGCGGGGATTCGAACCACCGACCTTGTGATCAGCAAGCCCAAGAGGCTCAGCGGTTTAGACCACAGCGCCACCTGCTCCCTTGCATCATGTGGATACCCCATAAAAA